CTTTCACCTAAAATTGCCATCGAAACGCAAGAGACGAATAACAAAAACATTAATGACATTCAAATGCATATATTTTAGGGCTGTCAAAATTATCGCGTTAATTACCGTTAATTACCGTTTTCATTAACGCGTTAAAAAAAATAATTAACGCATTAACTGCAATTGACGTGTTAACACGTCAATTGCGTTTCCCGCTATTTTCACGTTCCCAGATGTCTTGTATCAAATATGTAAGGTTTGAGGCAATATTTTATCGAGCCAGCAGATGGCCGCATTGCTCTATGAATGGTTTGAAAACAGCTAGATGCACTTTCTGGTGATTTCAATAAAACTTACCTCTACTCGACTGGGGATTACAGGGGAACGAAACAAGCTAGAAACAAAATTATTTTTGCTGATGAAAGTAGACAGTCCATTCTTTCAGAATATGGTTTTGGATTTCAGATTGTCATAATACACAATATTCTGTGGGTCTTGAAAATTCAGTAAAAATCATCAGAAACGGCTGGCAATATGGGAGTACCTGTTCTGAAATGGGCTGGAAGGCAATCGCATGTCCGAATGACCCGCCCATTTATAATAATATCACTCAGAATGCCACGGACACGTGCGTGTGTGTGATGGTGACAGCGGTAACGTGGTCATATAATACACTCGTATATATACACGCACAGGGGCCATTCTCTGATGTTGTGTGACACACGGAGAAGAGGAGGAGACACGCTGAAATGCAACCAAACTCGCAAAATTAAAGCTGGGGTACCTACATTTTCCCTTTCATTAACAGCTCTTGTTGGTTGTACCCAAAAGTAGAAGGTTGTGAGCAAGTCAAACAGATTTAAGTACATTTGGTATGAATAACAGTGTGTCATTACATTTGAAAATCTCATTTAACTTCAATTGGAGTGGATTTGAAATAGGATGCTTAAAATGCGATTAATCGTGAGTTAACTCACCATTACTATGCGATTAATCAACTAAAAAAAATTAATCGTTTGACAGCCCTAATATATTTCTATACTTTTTTGTTTGTTTGTTTGTTGTATTAGGTGAATGTTGATGTGTCTGTCTTTTTTGTTTTGGGTTTTTTAAAGTTTTTTTTATAGCACTTATTTTCGGATATCGCACGCGCCAATATTGCGATAACGATATTTTTTGCATATATCGTGCAGCCCTACAATCCGATACTAAGAAAGTACCATGTGCCAATTCTTCATTGTAAGATCAATAGTGTTTTATGGCACTAAACAGGGCCGGTGGAAACAATCCCAACCGGGGGAAAAGTAGGGACAAGAAGGGCTGGTGGAAACGGGGCTATGTTCGTGCGCATTGTCTGCAAATCTAATCAATATATTTTTGTATAGTAAGGAATTGTCAAAGAAGAATGTAATCTTTATCTACTATATATCAGACCCAACACATCCGTAATGAAAATACGTTGAAGAACATGCAGCCTTAGAGATAGATAAAGATTTTATTCTACTTTATTTTAGCATGGGGTTGTGCTATTCTTAATTTCACTTAAGTTGTGTGCTCCTCGTTCCTACTATTCTGTAACTAGTGACAACACTGATATTTCCCCATTGAGGAACAAATAAAGAATGTCTTAATCTTGGTCTTATTGTGAATGACATTGCCTCTCCAATAATGACCTCCGTTCAACACAAAGACATAACTTTCTACATTGGAAAAAGCAGGTGCCTCCTCACATTTAAACAGGCCGTAATGAAACAGAATCATTTTAACTCATAGCTTCCATTCCATTAGATTGAGTGTATCGCAATTAGCTCTTTAAGCTAGTGACAGTAAGGAGACCGCAGGACAATCGAGGGAAGTGAGTTCACTCTGCAGATGTAGGTCACAGTGGTGTAAACATGAGCTAAGAGGCATTCCAGCTGTTTTTAGGCTAATTGTTTATCCAGACGCTTTTCACAACTCAGCCAGCTCAACTGTGTGAAGCTGTACTGTCCGGCTGCAACAAATTATTGATTAAAGGTGATGTCAGGAACTTAAATTGTATGACATCTTTATAATAATATGTATTTCTGACCATGAGACACTAATATATTATCTATAGTAAGTATTTTCCAAGAATAATATATGAAAAATATCCTTCCCATTGGCATAACTTCTACATATAACATTTAATGGAGGGGAATATCGTAGCACCCATGAAAACCTTCGCAGACAAAAGGAGAACATTCAGACTCCACTCAGAAAGGCTCTGTTCTTGACTAGAATATGAACCCAGAACTGTCTTGCTGAGAAACGAGAAGCTAGAAATACTCCACTCTTCAGCACCGTGCCGCCTTCTTCATCTTCATAGAGATGACTTGTTGTTATTGAACTATTTGATCAAAAATACTTTGTTTTTACATTTTATTTTATTCTGCAGTCATTAAGATAAGATAAGAGAGCCTTAATTTGTCCCACAGTGCAGAAATGTCAATATTACAGCTCACATACAGGGCGCAAAATATACAATATAAGTATAGCTGTTATGTTTCTTAGCCAGCTTATAAAGTTATCTGAGCCACAAAAACCTCTTCCCTGCATTTTTATGAAAGCAAGGTTCAAAAAAAGATTAATTGAATACTTATTTTTTGACAACGATTAATAAATTAACTTGTTACAAATGTATTGTCCATCAAAATGACTTTTACAGTCATAATATACAGTATGTACTAAGGGTCATATTATTCGTTACATTCTGTTGCTGATAACCTTGGTGTCCCAGTCCATTACCCTTGGTCCTAATGCATAAACCAGTCAATATACACTCAGGCAGTTACAGTGTCGCTGGGCTGGCGGATGGCAGACGAAATAGACCTTGGACTTGTGTGAAAAGGAGCGAGCAGATTTTGTTGTTACGGTCCGTCGTAATGTGTTTTAGAGCGGATACTTATGTTGTTATAGTGAGATTGTAAACGTTTGAGATAGCTGTAAGACAATGGGGCACAGCAAGACAAACGAGAACATCTTTAAACCAGGCAAGTTTTTCTCTCGCACACAATCCAATCACAACTGTATTCATTTTGTTCCAAAAAATAAACACTGCTAAAATGTATATCCAAACTTATATTCATTTAAATAGTAAAAATGTGAATGTAAAATAGCACTAATCAAATCAAATATAACCAAACAAAGAACAAACCTTTAGATGGGACACGCGATAAATCGTTGACAACTGTATGAGCCTCAGTCCTGGTTCTACAGCCTCAGTCCTGGTTCTACAGCCTCAGTCCTGGTTCTACAGCCAGAGTCCTGGTTCTACAGCCTCAGACCTGGATGTACAGCCTCAGTCCTGGTTCTACAGCCTCAGACCTGGATCTACAGCCTCAGACCTGGATCTACAGCCTCAGACCTGGATATACAGCCTCAGTCCTGGATCTACAGCCTCAGTTCTGGATCTACAGCCTCCGTCCTGGTTCTACAGCCTCAGTCCTGGTTCTACAGCCACAGACCTGGATCTACAGCCTCAGTTCTGGATCTACAGCCTCCGTCCTGGATCGCCAGCCAGGCAGTGATGATCCAGGACTTGCATGCACATTTATAAACAAGTATTAATATTGGTCATCTTGCTCCCTAAGGACCAATGCCTTCCCACGTGTTTGTAATTTTAGCATTTCCTGTATTCAAACTGTTTGAATTTCTGATCTGTTGTTGCCAAGTCAACAATTTTCTAAAGTCCACCTTGACAACTTCTGGGCTATACAAAAAAATAAATGTATAATATTGCATCCTGAAGGACCCAGAGATTTCCAGCCTTAATTAGCATACACATATATATTGATGGACAATATTGATTCAGAGATAAACAATCATATAAAAAGGTCCTTTGCCACAAATACAATTTAAAGCCTGACTAAAAGACAAGCACATGAGCAAGCAATAAAACAAATCAATTTCTATGGAAAATATGATGTGTGGTTTTAATACTATTCCCATGGATTCATATAAGTGCCATTCCAACCACCGAAAGCGGAAGTTAATCAATGTAAGTAGTTCTGACTCACGACTTTAATTTGGAACACTGCTATTCTTAATCTCCTTTCTGTGTTATTGTAGCAGAGTGGTTAGCCCGGCTGTTTGGTTAAACTTCTGAACCCGAGCGAGAGAGCGAATCTCCTTATAATGAAAGTGACGGCTGTTCTTGGGGTAATAGAACCTCTGGTAAGTATTTGTGGTAGTTTTCGATCAGTAAAGTGAAAGTTGATGACAATAGTTGATTATTATTATTATTTTTAAGAAATGTTGATTTGTAAAATGGAATCCATCATAGTATGTTATCAATTTCAAAGTCAAGAAAACCAATTGTTTGACAGTTTAAAAACACATTTAACTAAATAGCTGTGTTGTCTTGTGTGTTATCATTACCATTATGTACTGTGTTTATAATTAGACCAGCTTTGGTAGTGTTGACTGTGTAGTTGCTATAGTGACCTTTTCCCCTGTCATCCTGCCGCTCATATCCAATCAGGAAGTAACATTGTAAACTTTACCAAAAGCTAAGGAAAGTAAATTCAAGCAAAATGTTGAGCAGATTATTAAATATCCCCATCTTAACTATGTTAAATGGGCATTAAAGTTGTGGTATGTAACTTGCAAATAACCATGTAAAAATAAAATCCATATAGCTAGCTAGCATAAACTTTTTTGTAGCTAAAAAAAACAGTTGAACTAGTTTTCACATGCATGTATTTTTGCCCTCACGTCCCTATATCAGCTTTTTCAGACAAATAAGAGTGAAAAAGAGAGGCCCACCCCCACTCAACCAATCAGCTCTCAGCCCAAAGCGTCGAATTGAGACTCACATGGCTCTTCCAGACAAGCATGCAAAAGATAATATGTTTTCTGAGATGAATACACCAGGGAATAGTCTGATTTTGCTTGTAAGGTTTTACTTTTTTTCTGTTGGGACAAACACATTTACTAAAGTTACGTGCCCCACCTTTAATTTATATATCATTCATCCAACTTCACCAAACAGCCATACTCACTTTGAGGTAGTCGTTTTCAGACCGTAGCTCCTCAATCTCCCGTGCATATTCTTCATGCACGCTGTCCATGAGCTCCTCTGTCAGGTCCGAGAAGGCCAGCGAGGTGGAGGCAGGCACCCGGCTATCGTACGACGTCAGGGACTTCTCATCCCCGGGAGACACGCTTCCTTCCCCGGCCTCCGCCCCCAGCGTGAACCGGCGCTCCTTGTTGTTGTGATCACCCACAAACTCACCGCTGATAGACACGGGAAGAATTCTCAGGTTCCCAGCAGATGTCACAGAATTTCGACTTTTATCCACCGGTTTGTGCTCGCCATCCATGCCCCCGCGACTGCTCCTGGACTCGGTGTCACTGCTGAACGCGTCCGTGGAGACTTTGTTTTCATCCGACGCGCAATCGGACAGCTCTGAACTGCTGTCCGTGGTGGGGGAGAGCTTTTCCTGGGCACACCCGGAGTCCCTGGACAAGTCTTCGGACCCAGTACTGGCGTCTGAGATCTTCCTCCTCGCGTTGCCTTTGGCCCCTTTCCCCGTGGATGATGCGTGCTTACCGGCCGCCTTGCCAGCTCCATCCTTCCCACCACTCGCCAAACTGGGGCTTCTCCGTGAAACGCGGCTGCCCAGATGGATCCCTCCAGGTTTGACGCTTAGAGAGGGGGTCCCTGATAAGCCTCCGCGTGTTTTTGTGAACGACCAGCCGGGCACGTCTTTGGGGCGAGCCGGGGAAGGCGCGCGGTTGGCCCCCTTCTTCTTCCCAGGTGCCGCGCCGTGCGTAATTTTCGCCTCGGAGCCTTCGGTGTCCATCTTCCCCCGCTGGTGGAGCCTTCGTTCCTTGGCTGAGGCGAAGAAGGGCTGAGCCGCGGAGCTATGCACATCAACCTCCTTTGTTTTGGTCATTCACTCATTTTAAAGTGAGCTACACAGGCGATGAATTATTCTCTCCCACCCGGCGGAGATAAACAACAAAAGGGGAAGAGGAAACCAGATCTGGAGGGAGTCTGGTGCACGTTGGTTCGCGCGGTGGAAATCCGAATGGAAATGCAAGAATTGGTGATGTATTCCTGGTTGTTTTTTGGTAATTCCCGTGTGTTTTGATCCAGGTGGCTGCAGGAGACGACTGCGTGGAGCTGTGTTTGGGAAAGGACGAGTGCTGGTTGTGGTGAGTGGTGAGTGGTTCTCTCCGCCCTGATAACGGATCATCTCAGACCGGAGCGCAGACTATGGGGGAGAGAGAGAGGAACAGGTTTGTGTGGCTCTCGGGCGCTCCTGGTGGTGGTTATGCAGGAGCAGTGCAGATGGCATAACAAAGGCATGCAGCAATGAGTGATTTTGGATGTGCTTCAGGGTGGGAAACACGATGCATTCGTTTCAATGTGAAAAACTAGGAATTTGAAGCAATATGTTTCCAGATAAAAAGCATATTTATGGAAAACAAAGAGGAAAAGGCTAGAGGCAATCATTTATTATTGGTCGCGTCGCATTGTCCCTACAATAAAAAAAGGATTTTCATTTTAAGTCAGACTGGCTCAGACCTTTGCCTCTTTGTTATACATTTTCCACAGATCCTTGAAGAGCACCTGACCCTTCACGTTTGTCATACTTTTTTTGATCCCTGTATCAAAAAAAGTCCCACTCATTCCTCTTGTAATTTTGCAAAAAAAAACATAGTTACTAGAACCAGAGCCAGGAAGTACAATCACATCAGTCCAGTTCTCAGGTCTATGCACTGGCTTCAGACATTTAAAGCAGCTCTGCTTGTGTAAAAGTTTCTTCATGGCCTTGCACCCAAGTACATCTGTGACATTTTGATCCCTAACCAACTGGGGCTCTGAGCAGCAGTCAGTGTGTGTTTGGCGACTCGTCATCACCGTGTGTGGAATATTTGGAACAATGTCTGAACTCTAAACATTGAGCCCTGTGAGTCACTATATGTGGCTTTGGGCTGAAGATGTGACAGGCCAAAAATACATGACATTTGTGCTAAAACCAAACTGTTTCGAGGGCAAGGAACTGGTTGGATTGTATATTTTGTGGTTTGCAAATGTGGTACCCCTAATTTAAATTAATATCCCTGTGACATTGGTGACGGTGGCTCAGTTGGTAGAGCAATGGCCTTTGGGCCTGAAGGTGGTGGGTTTGAGCCCACCACGAGACCTACTTCAAGACTCCCACGGATGTTTGCTGTCGTTGTGTCCTTGGGCAAGACACTTAACCCCACTTTGCCGGAAGACCCCGCTGAAATATCTCAGCTCCTGTGGGCTCACCACCTGCAGGAGGATCAGTGAGGGGCTGGTGCTCTGTGGACTGGGAGCAGCTCTGACTGGCACCCCCCGACCCAGAAATGGAATAAGGGGAAGAGGATGGATGGATCCCCGTGATCAAATTGGATGTTTAATTTGATTTTTGTGACAACAGGTTGGATTCACAGATGTGATGAACATATGCTCAGCTATAGCCAGAGATGAACAACAATGATTTACATAATACATTTTGTTCAACATGATTTTGAGAAGAGCCAATCCACCTGTCACATTTCAATGGCTTTTATACCATTAAACGTTGGATGTGAATCCTTTATTGGAGGCTTTTAAATCTAATCTGAAGACACATTCGGCTTTCAACAATAACTGAGATTTACTGTTTCACAGTGTGTTTATGTGTCATTCATTCTGTTATTCTTTCTTTTTTGCTTTTGTCTTCATTAAATGTAACACTGATTAAAATCATTAAGATTTTGTTAGTATGTGACAATGATGGGCATGTCAGAATAATCTATGTTTAGTACGGGAAGCTTGTGGGAATGAAGACACGGAGAAGTCTAATCTTTTGTGAAATGATAAACTGTTTTGGAAAAATCATTTATTAGGAGACAAACAAATAATAAACCTTTGATCATACAATACAACAACTATTAAGCCAGACAAAAAAATGGAAAAACTGTTAAGGTTCACTTTTTTAAGTTCAATCATTCATCCTTTAGATGAACTTTGATGCAGCTGGCGTTTTTGTAAATAAAGCTGATATTGAGATGGACACAGATCTGTACATATGATGAAATCCAGAAGCTCTGCCCTCTGGCAGGAATACCAAACTCAGGCCCGAGGGCCAACTCCGACCCACAAGACAATTTTTAGGGGCCCCTGAAATTATTTTCAATTATTATTATCACAGTTTATGCAGCATTGATGGGAGTAGTTTATACTAAGTTTTACTTAATTATAAAGCTGATCTTCTCAGGAGAACAACCATATAATTGAATCTGTTCTAAAATGTGTCGAACGTGTAAGTAGAAGTTAGGCCAAAGATGTATTTTTGTTTATTAACTATGAATCTTCACGTACTTTAATCTTTTTTTACATATTTGTTGTGACTGATTCCAAACCTGCAACAAAATACTATCCAAATGTCAAATGAAATACATTTGTCAAAATACAAAAATAGAATAATAATAAAAGCAAACAACTTTCATACTTTAGGTCCCAGCCAGCTCTTTTGTTTTTTAAATTGGCCCCTAACCAAAATGAGTTGACACCCCTGCCCTCTAATAATGTTTATGCCTCTCTCATGGTGTATAATTCTGTTTGCAGCTGGTTCTTACAGTATATCCTTTACACGGCTGTCCCCATCATCTTTTATTCACTATTTTTCAGCCTGGGGAGGACACGGATCACATGGCTCGCTGTGAGGGACTCTCCCAGGGCATATCAGGTGACACCCAACTCTTACTACTGTACAAACATTATAATAACGGGAATTCATACTCTGTCATTTATTTGTAATATTTCTAATTTATTCACTGTAGTTTTTTGTGTGTATGTGCAATTTAAGCTCTGAACTCTGTTGGCCCAGGCAAGTCTGTGCGTTTTTATTCTGTAGACCTGTGTTTTCATGACCTGTATTGAAATGTTGTGTCTATCAGGGTGGTTTGGACCCAAGTCAGATTTGTCACCACAGGAAAAGAATTGTACAAGTTTGTTGTGGTAGGGGAAACCTGCGCACACATGCAAACTCACCCAGAAAGATCATGTCTGGAGGTGAAATCCAACCCAGGACCTCATTGATGAGAAGGTCCACTCAGCCACATCCCACATATACAGTAAGCAATGGCCGTATTTCGACGGCGTCTTCAAAAGATTAGGTCACAATGTGGGTTACATATTGACTTGTTTCAACACACCAGTCCATATGCAAGAAAAGAAGAGGCGATGCAGGGTTTTGGGGAGAAAAACATTCATATTATTGTATCTGTATGCCTGTGTGATTACTAGTGATCATGTATTATTAATTCAATTATTCAGATATATTTGGCTGTTTATGGTTATGGTTTTATGCAACATGCAACTATTCTTACATGAATGATAGTTAAAAAATACATTCACTGCACGTAATCTGTATGTGACAATGATAAACTTGAACTTCAACTATTAGTGACATGAATTTTACGTAGTGCCATTGCCAGCTTGTGAGGCGTAAAACACACACACACAAACACATAATCCTCATAGGATCATGTGACATTGAGAACAGAGGGAACCCCCAGGGACACTCATTAATGTCCTGATGTCCTTAGGCTGAAAAAAACGCTGCACTTGCTCTGTGGCGGACAGAGGTATCAAAACAGACTCAGAGTTTGATAACCTGAAATATATCAGGATATGTTTAAGTGGGATGTTTTTCAAGCATTAGGACTCTGGCATCTGAGCCTGTGCCGAGTCTTGTTACCAATAATTTAGTCACGGTGGCTGAGTGGATTGCCTCTTAGCAAGAAGGTCCTGGGTTCGAATCCTGGTCGGAACGGGGTCCTTCTGAGTGGAGTTTGCATGTTCTCCCCGTGCTTGCATAGGTTTCCTCCGGGTACTCCGGTTTCCCCTACCACTAAAAACATGCACACTAGGTTAAATCCTCCAGCTCTGGTAGTTTTGACTAAGCCGAGCATTAACATCTGGAGATGGGTTCCCGGGCGCTGTTACTACGGCGACCACTGCTCCTGACGTAAGCCTTAGCGGCATCAGGATGGGTCAAATGCAGGGAATGATATGCCCTACGGGGATCAATAAAGTGCACTTTTACCTTTAATTGTGGTTTTAGGGTTAGTCCTGTCCTGTATCTTTCCAATTTATTTTTGTACAGCCCTAAATCACAACGGCAGTTGTCTCAGAGGACTTGTCAATTCCTTAACCAAAGATAATCCAACAGTTCAAACACAGGAAATACAATAATAAAAAACACATAGAGTCATTGGCCCACAGGCGGGCGGCATGGTGGCTGAGTGGGTAGCACTCTCGCCTCTCAGCAAGAAGGTCCTGGGTTCGAATCCCGGTCGGACCAGGGCCTTTCTGAGTGGAGTTTGCATGTTCTCCCCGTGTCTGCGTAGGTTTCCTCCGGGTACTCCGGTTTCCCCTACCACTAAAAATATGTCCAATAGTTCTGGCATGCGCCTCCTGTACTGGCGACCCCGCTCCCATCTCTGTGTGGAGTGAGACAAGTGCCCAAAATTAACAATTGTAAACCGCTTTGAGACTCAGATCTGCAGTGAAAAGGTGGTATATAAATAAAAACTTACTTACTTACTTACTTACTTACAGGGAGCGGGCTGACCAATGTTCATAAATGGTAATCCATTTCCATAAATGCTGTTAAGTCGTTCCTTGCTGAAGCAGAAGGATCAAAGGACAGAGATAGTCAGGGATGTTTAAGAACATTTATGGACATTTAAGGGCATTCGTCTGCCCTGATGAAGACCTAAAGGGTTGAAACGTGTCAGTTGCGCATTGGACCTTATATTGCTTTTTTGCACTTTGGATTTTCCTGATGAACACTTGGCCCGCATACCACTCTCCCCCTGAACAATATTTAAGGAAATTCATTGACATTTATAGATATTGGTCACTCTGCTCCATATGAACCTATTACCCTTACAGTATAGAGTATTATTGCATTTCCTGTGTTTAAACTGTCGACAACGGTGAATTAACAACTTTATAACGTCCTTTGACTGCTGTTGTGATTCAAAGCTATACAAAAATATATGTAACTGGATTAAATGTGGGTACAGGGTAAGGGTTAGGGTAAATTGGCCCATATTACACAGTCAAGCACTTAAATAATATGTTATAAACCGCTCAATACAAAATACTGTTTGGACAATGAGTCTGTGACCCTGTCCTTGGTCCGTCTTTTGTATCTAAGGATTTTCTTTTTGATGCCTTACACAGTGAGTAAGGCATCAAAAACACCTGATAATACGCATTTCTATTGTCTCCCCAGCAGCGTTAGACCTAGTGTTAGTCCAGCCCCCAGCTCTGCAGTGGTGAGAAGACAGCAGTGACCAGAGGCTGAGACCGGCCTGATGTGTCGATGCGCTCCAGCGAATCTCTGCATTATTTATGAGAGAAACTGAGCGCTCCTGGATCGTAGCATCAATACATTTCCCCGCCGCAGGTTAAAGATAGTCCGGCTTACAGGTGATTAGAAAGTGACTGGACGGGACTTTAAGGCATTGGAGATTCAACACTATCAAGTTTGAGTTTGCATTTCTTCAGGCTCAGTAGATCATTGATGAAAACGGTTTTATTGATGATGTTGAACTGCTTACTTGCTTTGGCCTCAGTCCTGCTTCGCATGGCCTCAGTCCTTGTTCTACAGCCTGAGTCCTGGATCCATAGCCTCTCATAGTTTCCTTGTTTTTCCTTGTCAATTCATGAGGGTCTAAGGACAGTGTTGATGATCCAGGAAACTCGACATTCAACAACTGTTTTTTTCAACATTAATGGACACTGGTGATCTGTCCCTTATGGACCAAAGGCTCTATGTGTTTTTTTTTCATCATTGCCTTTCCTGTGTTTCAAAGGTTTGATTCTCTGATCTGAGTTTCCAATTGGCTTGTAAAGTTCTACAAGATAACTACTGTTGTAATTTAGGGCTATACAAAGATACATTGAACTGAATTTAAACTAAATGATTTCTGTTGCTTTGGGGATGACAGTGGAGTTGTATTATCATCGGTCTGTGAATCAAAGATGTCATTGAAGTTGGCTGTGGTTGTGTCCTTGAGCATGACACAGAACCCCACCTTACTTGAACCCCCTGCTGAAAGAGCAGTGTCTTGTGTCTTGTGTCTTGCTGATGGAGCAGCCATCCCCCTGTGGATCCACCACCTGCAATGAGAGGCGGGTGCTATAAGAATGGGTGGAAAGTCAATGGCAAGATAGAGTTTTTATACTTTTACTATTAATTGTGGAGTTGTGCCATACTTAATATTAACTTATCTTGTATTGTGTGATCCTCATTCCTACTGTTCTTTAACTTGTGATGCAAGTGGAAAAGATTAATCTCCAAATCCTAGTAAAGCATTTTGGGTGACTTTGGTCTAATGCTTTATAGATCAAATAATAACTTCCTACTACTACTTACTACTAAACACAGTTAACTCTTTTTCAGTGTTGACGGGACATGAGACCTCTCTGGACTTTGTTTGACCTTCACTCTGGTTTATTTCTACTCAACTCGGGACATCCTGTACACAGAATGCTCCATGAATGATTCAGGAGATGAAGATTATGTTAAAGTGAATGCCCACATGTTTGAGAACCAGAGCAGTCTGTCACCTCCAAGTACACTGTGGGTGAGAGGCTGAGCTAGTGTTCTCATTGCATTTCGCTTGATACATGGTGATTAGTTTTGTGATTTACATTTACCTTTTGGGATTTACATTATATTTTCTCATTACTTGACAACCTGTTCAAGTTGTAGGACTAATACTGCCAGAATTATTTTGGTTTTTGTGTAAAGGGTATAGTGAAGCCTTAAGAAAAACATTCAGATAAGCAACGGTGCTTATTTATTTGTAAGAAAAATTACTCTCTGTTACCTCAAATAGGAATAAAGTTGAAATTTCTTCACTCTCTTCCACATGGTCCAGCAGAGGTAGATTTGAACTTGGCCTAACTTATCAATTATATGAAGGCCCTAAATCACATTCACATTGTTTATTCCACAGAAATTATTTGGAAGAAATTGAATTACATTTTGGACATGTGGAAATTTTCAAATATCAAAGGCTTTGTTTATGATCCTTCAAAAACTATGGATGTTGTAATGCAAATTAATATTCTGTATTTACTCATGATGGAATCCTTAGATACAATTAGAATTGCAATCAGCTGCATTAAGCTGTAGATTGTGGCAATGGATGTCAGAAAACTACTTACGTGTGTGCCCCAACCGAGAAAATCAAAGTGCCAAATGTGTGTTTATATCAGTCAAATGACTTGGATTCCTTATTTTACTTTTATTACATTATTTCTTTTTATTTGTGAAAATACAGACAGACAATGCAGATGCAGACATTTACGATAAGACAGATACAAAGAACGAACAACATTGTGGAGATTTATATGGTACAGTCACAGTGTATATGCAGAGGTGTGTGTGTGTGTGTGTGTGTGCGCGTGTATGCCCGTATGCTGTCAGATAAGTCTATGATTTATACATAATTTGTATTTGAATGTGTAAGTGTAGAGATTCCATGAACATTACTTCGTTTGAATATGTTCTATTCAACTTTTTGTAAACTTTGTATGTGTAAAACAGCTACATATTTGTTATGTCTAACAAAACAAAGCATTTACAAAGAATCAGAAGTAATCTGTCATGTGTCATGTTGAAGATAAAACAATGTTATAGCCTATGGCTATTTTAAATCTTGCTTTAAATCAAGTCAAATGATTCTAGTAAGAGCTCACACAGCACAGTTCCACTTAGATTGTGACAGCCCTGGCATCGAGCTCAGCTTTTCTAATTTGTTCATAAAGGAAAGTCATTACACAAGCTGCCAGTGACATTTAAAACAATCAAAGTCTATTGATCATATGTGACAACTTTGCTCACTCACAACACTACTGCATACATAGACCTTAAACTATTCATGAACTGGTCTCCCCTGGCCCGGACTGAGACCTGGATCCACAGCCTGATTTTTCGATCAACAATCTTATTTATTTATTTATTTATCAATTACTGGGACAGTGCATATTAATGGACATTTCTGTAAATATGCCAGAATTAGCCAAGCGGCTATTTTTCATATGTAGTCCCATGTCTCCTGAAAGATAAAAACATGTTTGCTACATAGTTAAAATAATGTGAAATATTTACAATATAAGTCTCAGTCCTGGTTCTACGGTCTGAGACCTGGTTGTAAAGCCTTTGTCCTGGATCTTCAGCCACAGTCCTGGTTCTACAGCCTTAGTCCTGGTTCTACAGCCTTAGTCCTGGATGTACATGCTAACCCATGGGAGTGGATCCCTCTCTCAATGTGGACATTCCCAAGGTTTCTCACATTTCTTTGACAGTGATGATTGAGGACATTTATCAACATTTAAGGACATTGGTCATCCCGCTCTCTCTGGACCAATGGCTCCAATGTGTATGCATTCATTATCATTGTGTTTCCTGTGTTTGAGTCTCTGATCTGTTATACCGAATTGACAACTGAGGCTGAGTCCTCCCAGACGACTGCTGTGAAACAGGGAAATACACAAATACATGGAATTGACACAGTTTCATAAAATGATTAATTAAGCATAAACAGCAGTCACAAAACTCCCTGAAATGTACACATCATATTTAGCCTCTTATAAAACCTCCAACTGTTGAAACGTGTATTTTCCATGGATCTAGGTATTTTCTCATGACTTCTGCAGTCTGCCTGTATGATGAGCCTCTCACTCCATCTAGTGGTTATAAGTGAACAAGCTACAATAGAAGGCCTCTATTTCCCTTTTATCCACATCATTGAAATTAAGTACAAATACTTTTGTCTTTTCTTGTGTAAACAATCAAATATTTTTCTCAAACAGCGGAAACATATCCTATACACATTTTTTATGTTGTGTTGTCTATCTTTGTAATAAAAAGAATGAACTCAGTTTTTTTGGTGTTAAATATTATACAAATATATATGTGAAACAAAAATGCCATTTTTGATCAAACAAAATCCATTCATTTTCACAAAGAGTACACAAATTAATTGATTTGAAGGGTTAGGCCAGGCATGTCCAAAGTAAGGCCCACAAACAAATTGCAGCCCTCTCCCTTGTTAACCTGAAGGAGCCTGAGATTATAAACACATTCAGCCAACTTCAGCTCAGTCAATATAGGCATACTATACCTCGTTGGAAAGTTGAAAACCTTTGCAATCCAGCAAATCCAGCACAATCTGTTTTTGATTGTGTCACAACATTCCATAGATGGCACTATTGCTGCTGAGATGGTAACTTGGATGGATGGAGCGATCTTGGACAAAAGTTGATATTGCAGAAGTGTTGTAAATTTGGTGGCTGTAATATGTTTGATAAGTAAGTAAGTAAGTTTTTATTTATATACCGCCTTTTCACTGCAGATCTGAGTCTCAAAGCGGTTTACAATTGTTAATGTTGGGCATTTGTCTCTCACTCCACACAAAGATGGGAGGGGCCAGTACAGGAGGCACATGCCAGAACTATTGGACATATTTTTAGTGGTAGGGGAAACCGGAGGAAACCTACGCAGACATGGGGAGAACATGCAAACTCCACTCAGAAAGGCCCTGGTCCGGCCGGGATTCGAACCCAGGACCTTCTTGCTGAGAGGCGAGAGTGCTATCCACTCAGCCACCGTGCTACGTAGGTAATATACTTGTATGGAGTGTGGATGGCAAGGTCCCTCATGGATCAACCAAACTGTTCTTGCTTGGTTGTAAGTCAGGAAGTTTGGAGGTTTCACAATTGTATTACGTAAAACTGGATTAACAAAAGTGTTTTGAGAATCAGTGGATCATTCTCTTTGAGTGAGGTTTACGTGTTTTGTTCAATGATGGGGTTTACTTATGTTGAACAATTAACCTGGACAGTTTGAGAAAAAAGAAGTAAAGGCTGCTTATTCCCCAAGGGTTTGAATATGTTTTTCTTGCTGATACAATCTACATGTAAGTAAAATGACATAAGTTTCCAGTCTTTTTTGTAAGTTGCTTTGAAATATTCTTTATTCAAAATGATATTCACATTACTGAATCCAAACATATTCAGTCAAACACGTACCTGATACTTGCTAAAACATACCACTGTGAGACAAACAAACTGTAGGTGATATATTATTAATTGTAGATCAGTCAGCTGTCTTGATCAGTGCTGCAAAGTTGCCCAGGCTCAAACAAAAGCCCATTGTTGCAACTCTGCATTATTCATGGCATACACAAAATGTCTCATAACCCAGAGACTTGACTGAACCCTCCACACTCTGCGATGATATGATAGAACATATCTCGTACAACAACACATGTAGGTTTCAGTTCTAGTTTAAGAACACGTTATTCAGATATCTCCTCCTGTTCACTGCTCCCCGGAGCCCTCTATCTATAAGATCACACAAAAACACTTAACTTTTAATTTTATAACGCAGTTTCCATGACCATCATTTTGAGTGTGAATCTGGTTTAAAATGGCATGGACATTAAAGACCACATTGCTGTGTTAACATTATTTGCATTTGTTAACTGTGCAAGTTTATTTTGTTATATATATTTTTGTTACTACTTAAAAGACATTTTCAAATGAAATACAACCTCACTATTTACTTTACAGCTTGAGGTTAAAACATTCAACTGAATGTCTAAAAAACAAAAACAAATTACAACTGTTTTAATTTCATGCAAGCAAAGGTTCCCCTTGCTGTGTGGCATGAATATTATCCACTAAGTCATTGTTGAAGTTGAATGGTTCAAGGTGGGAACTGTGTGGCAGCCCTGCTTCTGTAAGTGTGCCCCAGGGCAGCTGTGGCTACTGTTGTGGCCCACTATATCTACTATGTCGAGTGAATGAAAACTACACCACAATACAAAGTGCTCTGTTTGACCCTGATATGTGCAGAGCGCCATATAAATAATACAGATGACTTACTAGTATTATTCAAACCAGACTTCATTGTCTCTACCTGTCTTGTTCCATGCACTTGTTTATAGCGTTCCTATTGGCCAACCGCTTCAGCTCTGGCCTCCGATTGGCTGTTCGCGCTGTCTCTTATCATCTTAGCCCCGCCTCTTGAGCGTGTAACTTCCGCCTCTGTCAGCGCTCGCCTGGTCTCCTCAGATCAGCCGTTCATCTTCCCTCTACACTCGGATTATCACTCACACGCAGCAGCCAGGTACGATTCCCAGCCTCAAAGCATCACTCCCGCGTGTTTTTGTCCTCGCCCACAACTTTCACAAATATGCGTTATCTCAAAGGACATGTTGTGCTGCTAATTGTGCTAGTTAGCCTGCTTTTTCATGTAGCCCGCCCGCTAATGCTAACGCTATCTGTCAAAGCGAGCTCTTCGCCCTGTCAGAGTTGTGTTTACCATTGTTTTGTGTTGTCAACGAACCCAGAAGATGGTCATCACATAATCTCACCGTATTTCACACAATGTTACGGTTTTATTTAGTTTAACCAGCGAAACAGCCTCTCCATCATCGCTATTGTTAACCTTAAATGCACAGCTGTCTACGTCTTTGGATTGCATTGCGAGACAATGGTTCATTATTAGCCTCTTTAGAAATACACATTTACAAATTGGATTGCATATAGTTAGTAGCATGAAGTCGTTGGAAGCAGCAGAGAAGCAACATTTGCGTGACATCTAGGCATGCATGGTGGGCGTTGGTGGAATTCTTTAATCACGGGTTGTAAACAATAATGGAACTCCTGGAATAGAAAATAGCAGTCGAAGACTTTTCAGTTTATTGTGATAATTTGTATGGCCGTGTGCAGGTTTTACACGTAACTTTATTATTAGTAGTTTTACACTGTATTAATATAAAGTGTGAAGTTCCCCGTTTTGGCCTGGTGCATGTGTACACTTGTTTAAAAGAACCATTATCTCACATAACATTTTTATCTGTTGCTGTCTATCATTTAATCTTTTCATCTGTGCATACTGTCTATGCTCGTGATTTATCTCTTGTAAATATTATGTAATAGAGAGGTGGCACAAAGTTGATCCTGCTTTTCAACGCCTGGGGTTGATTCAAAAGTATGTTTAGGGCCATACATTAATTTTCTTTGCATAGTAGGCCTCCATTCAGGCACATCTGTCACTCTTTTACACTAGGTGCTTTGCGTGTCTGCCCACTAATATCTTTTTGTGATTTTGGAGTTGCAAAAGGTCTGATGTATTTTCTTTGAGTTTTTCGTATTTTTGTCTTCATCTTAAAGAAAAAAAAAAGTGTATTATCTATTTGGAGCCAGTTTATAAGGATCGAGTCCAGTCGTATTGCTTTATCTATTTGCGTTAAGCTGGACTTTTAATAATGCTTGGTATGTTTCTTATTGTATGTTTTTGTAATGCGTGAGTAGTGTTAGAAGCATGTAGAGTTTAGATGACCTATTCTGTTGATTCTTCTGCTTTTGAAGTGTGTAGTTAACGGCACCAAAGCATGACTGAGGTGGAATGTTCTTTTTTGACGCAGCCCCGAGACTAAAACTGGAGGTCAGTGACTCGGGGAAGAGTAGACAACGCCATTCACAAACTACCAGCAGCAGCCAGAGCTAAGAAGCGAGGGTGAAGCAGAGATTTGAAATAAAATGTCCTGACGTAGTTGTTCTTGCTGCTCTGTCTGCACCGTATCAGCGTTTGTTATGCACCCTAAAGAAGGAGGCAGGAGGAAATCGATACTGCAATTATCTTCAGTATGGAAGTTGGACTAGTTTGTTTCCCACCTAAGTGAGAACAGTTTAAACTTCGAACAGAAAGATAATGTCAAACCTCAGCCTCTCTTCTGTTCTGTTGTGTCTCAAAGGTGAAAATCTAAATTTGATTTGAACATGCAAAATGTATTTTTTGCTGCACCTACTGCATGTGACAGCCAGATCTTGTCAGACCTCCAAAGCTAAGCAGGGCAGGGCCTGCTTAGTACTTTGATGGGAGACCTCTTGGAACACCAGGTGCCACAGTGGGGTGGCTGTGGCTGTAAAGTGCCAAACTGTCACTGTGTCCTTTGGCAAGACGCTTCACCTTCTGCTTACCTCGCTTCTGACAGTGCGTCCCAGGGCAGCTGTGGCTACAATAGTAGTTCATCACCACAGTGTATGGCGTGATAGAATAATGCCATGTGAACAGTCTGTGAGTGTCCAGAAAAACACTATATAAATCTGATGCACTAATATTTTTTCAGTTATTATTTACATTGACAGCTATTTAGATAGCATTCACAGCTCATTATCTCAGTATATTTTGTTTGCTCCTTTCTCTCACTACTGTCTGAAATGTTCTCAACGTGGGACGAATAAAGGTTCTCTTATCTTGGTCACATAATCTTTCTCTAGTGCATTTCACAAATAAAAGGTCATCCAAACTACCCTACAATGTGTATAGGGGTGAAACCACCAATTGATTTAATCTAGCCTACAGCTCTACATACAGATACTCCATTTTCTTTGTGTGTACAGCCTGCGTAGAACCAGGCCTCATTACTTTTATAGGATGAGACGGCTTCGACCCCATTGAGAATTGCAACTTGTTGTCATTTTGGCTTCTTCCTCCCTAAGGCATCTCAATAATCCCCTGTGTTATTAGTTACCACATCACCACTAAGCGCCACACGACACCATCTCGTTTAATCCACCCGAATACACACACAAGATGAGACGCCATGTCCTAATACTGCGGGTTATGGGGAAGCTGCATTTTGTGGTTCCAATGAAGAAGCTGTGGATTACAAAAACATGTTATAAGACACTTCCTAAACATATACCATTATTTGTGAATGCACAATCTGGAGAATTAATTTCAATTTAAAAAGGGATAGAAAACTGAAGGCTTTCATCTTCACTCTTGTTGATATATTGTGATTATTTAGTTTCAGTTTATTTATTTATTGTTTCTGTACCTGTAAACAATGTCTAGATGCATTCGTACTGCTGTCAAAATATAAAATGTATACGCGATGGCAAGCTTAAAATTATAAATCTACAAACTTTCTTTAAGTACAATAGTTGGCAAATTGCACAAGACAAAGTCCTCATTGGACCATCACTACCACTGTCAGTTTATAGCCAGTCGTTGAATTAGAGTGTAATGCTCTCATACAGAGAACCTTAACTTGTAGTAATTGCTGCACATTACCACAAACTGGCATGTCAGACCAGAGGCCTCCCACTCTCATCACTTCTCATTCAGTGTGAACGAAGTCAGGACGACCGAACCACCACAGCACATTGCCTTTAATCAAAAAAAAGGATTTTGTCATCGCAAAAACAAAGAATTGGTTCATATGGTTCTCGACTTGATTTTACTTGATTGTTCTTTATTATTACTTATGTTATCACGTTTGTCATTTTTAGAATTATGCATTTATTCACTTGATGGATGTGGAAATGTTTTAGAACTGGGTACCTAACTTTGAACATAAAAGAACAACTATGTAATAACATTCATATAACTAATAGCAAGGTCTTAAAACTTTGGTTCAAGCTTAAGTTTCACTGAAAAAAACGGATCCAAATGTGTGACAAAGAGTACTAGCCCTCACTCCCAGAATGGAGTGGTTGAACAAGACTATTTCTGTTGAAACAAACATGTATTTATTAAAGCAACAATACTGAGTTTAATTGTTGAATACTCTCTATACAAGACTGAGATTCGACAATATAGCACCTCTGCAAAATTTGAACTTCACAATACTGTGTGTTATATGACAAATTGTGAAGTCTCTCTCTAGATTTGTCATCCCTTGTGTAATTATTTTTGCACCGGACCTGGCCCACATCAAACGACGCGATATAATCCAGTAGAAATCGTCTGTAGTCTAGTTCTGGTGGCGACGGTGTTGATGGGAGTGGTGTGTTTGAGTTTGGAGGCTGCAGAATCTGCTTGACCAGCTCCGACACTGTCACCGCTGAGTCATGTTTCATGCTGGTCGGAATCAGCATTTCTCCTTATGCTCAGTGAACAGGACAGTAAAGGATTGTTACTGGTAGGGGTAGGTGGTGTAAACTGTTTAGTAAGAGGACCACTTGAGTTTACCAGACTGGATTCTGGTTCATCTGGGCTTAAAAATTGGGTATAATATAGGGCTGGGCGATATGGCAAAAAAAAAAAATCTCCGATTTTTTCACACCAAATCCGATTTTCGATTTTAAATCGATTTATTTTTTTCTATTTAAAAACAAACTACAACTGACAAAGAAATAGATTTTCCTTTATGCAGCTTAATCTAAATCCCCATGGAGCATAAGTGTAACAGGAATTAAGCCTTAAAACATGCTTGTAAACGAGATGGCTCTGCCATTGTAAACAGTGAAAATGTAGCTTAACAGTTTTATAATAACTTCACTTACAATGACACTATGCACCTTCAAAATAACTTAAATCACACAAACAAGGCCCATCGCAAATATATCAATCCTATTAAACACATGCATTATTTACATGAAATATCACATTTTTAAAACTGATTACTCAAAGTAGAAATGTTGTAACAGTCAGTCTTTTCCAAAAGCCTCCTCGGGTTTTCATGCTTGTTCTTTCAACTGTGCCTGAGTAACTGTGCTGTAGTACAACGCTCGGTCCAGCTGGTGACGCTAATACTAACTTCAGTGACTCCCGCATTGTGCGAGCTTCCTGTTTACATTCTGATGCTGTAGCTAACAGCTACTGTAGCAGCTACTGTAGCTAACAGCTACTGTAGCAGCTACTGTAGCTAACAGACAGCGGGGAACACGTTGTTTGTATCAGAGCAATGAGAACAATGTGTGAGACGTGTCTTTCCCAAAGTGCAGCGGCTCAGTGGGACACGAGTGTGTGCGCGCCACGGACACGGGAGTGCGCTTTGGAATAACGAGCGTGAGAGAGCGTGAAAGATGTGGCGTACGAACATGGCGTACGAACATGGCGTACGAACATAGCGACCGGGGCTTGCGTGCGTGTGTGTGTGTGTTTTGGCGATTAAATAAAGTCTGATTCTTGAATGTTTGAAGTGTTATTGCAACAGCACCAACTGTGAGAGCGAGCATCAGGCCAGAGGGAGACTGTTAGCATTAGGTTAGCTTCAAAATGACTGCTCAACACCATAGACCCGCGGTTAGCGCGTTAGCGCTGTAGTTCTGCGCTGGAGAAAATAAAAATCGAATTTTTAAAAAAAGAAATCGCCCTAAACGTAAAACTCG